GGTTGTGGAACCAGCTGCCTGATGGCTCTTTCAACTTTGTCCCACAAATGCTCAATTGGATTGAGATCTGGTGATTGTGGGGGCCACCTAAGCAAGGTAAAGTCTCCCTCATGTTCTTGAAACCACTCCTGCAAAATACGAGCACAATGGTATGGCGCATTGTCTTGTTGGAAGAAGCCATCTCAATTGGGATACGCCATCAACATGATAGGATGAACTTGATCAGCAACGATACTTTGGTATGTTGTACTATTCAGACGTTGTGCCACACGAATCAAAGGGCCCAAATCATGCCAGGAAAACATGCCCATTACTTTTTTCCAATGCTCGGCTGTCCAATCCTTGTGTTCCTGTGCGAATTGGAGACTTTTTATCTTAACTGCAGACAGCAAAGGTGTTCGGACAGGCCTTCGGCTTCCATATCCCATACAATGCAATGTACGGCGAACAGTGCGTTCAGAGATCATTTGAGAGGATCCCTGATTAAGATCTGCAATAATTTGATGCACTGTTGCCCTTCTGTTGTCTTGTACCAGTCTTGCCACTCTCCGTTCTGCCCTAACATTGACCTGTCGCTGACGGCCACAATTCGCACGTTCAGACCCAGATTTTCGGCTGACAGTCCAGTCTTTAAACACTTTAACAACAGCTGCTCTTGAACATTTAACGAATTCTGCTGTTTTGCTGATATTCGCTCCATGGCTCAGAGCGCCAACAATCATCCCACGTTCAAAGGCTGTTAAATCGCGTTGTTTACCCATATCTTCAGAAACAAATCGCTTCTACTGTCGTGGTAAACAACCTGCTTCCCTATTTTTAATGGTCTGGCCCTCTAGCAACTTCAGCGCAAAATTATAGCTAATTATAGCTAATTTGCCTACAAATGTCAGGTGGTCATAATAATCTGGCCATATATAATTTTTTTTAAATTCATATTAGTGGTCAGCGGGATTTAAAATGATGAATTTAGTGGTCCATGAGGTCCGAAAGGTTGGCGACAGCTGCTGTAGACTGTTTTATACAGAAGGTGCAGCTGCTATTTTTGGCATGTTGAAGAGGAGTTCCATAAACAAAGGTTGTGAAATGTTTCAGATAAGAAGTTACAAGTCCATAATTATCTCTTCCATGACCACACACTGAGGTGACTTCACAGGCAGAGAAAGCAAGCTGTTTGCAATGTCATTGCCGCTAAAGAAATCTTAAGTGATTTATTTCCCAGTCTGTTTAAAGAAGAATTCTGGCAATTTAAAACACGTACCCTTTCAAGGGGCTATAGCAGATATGCTCACCTGATCCTTGGTCCAGCCAGGCTGCTAGGCCGGTCCCTGCAGCGTCTTCTTACCCTGAGCTCCAGCAGTATAAGGACCACTGATGTCATCATGTCTAATGCAGAGGGGGAAGACAGGCGAGTGCCGACCGCCATGGGGCCGAGGATCAGAGTGTATCTGCTTTTATTTCCCTCCCCTAGACAAAATGAGCATCTAACCCTTGAATTGCGGGTGTATCCCCACTGCAGAGGTACGTTTTCTTTAACCCCTTCATGACTGAGGCCTTTTTTTCATTTTTTTAACCCATGTTATATTACACATTGTAGGCATGAAAATTACTTAAAACACCCAAACATTATATATTTTCTGAAAGCCAAGATCCTGTAGAATAAAATGTTGGCAGTTGCAAATTTTTATGTTGCACGGTATTAGCGCAACTCCTTATCAAACCTCAAAATGTAGTGAAAAATGTACTTAAATGCCCCAAAACACAATTTAAACACCCATTTATTTTAATAAAAGATGAGGTTACAACGAGTAAATAGATACCCAACATGCTCAGGTTAAAAATTGTGTGCGTCCGTGAAACGGCGACAAAATTCAGTACACCAAAAAGTCCATAGACGACGCTTTAAAAGCCTACACAGGTCATCAGTTTAGAGATGCCCTAGAATTATTGGTCTCACTCCGGTGTGCGTGGCGATACCCAACATGTGTAGCGCGTTTGTCGTTTTCATACATAGGTCCACCCTACGCGTGTTTACATAAAGATGCGCGTGCTCGCGAGGGACTTTAAATTCTGTTTTATTATTTTTAGATTGTTTTAATGTTAATTTTTAAAACTGTTATTATTTTTTGTTATTTTTTTTAACTTTAATTGCTATCACATAGGGGGGCTTACAAGCCCCCCATATAATAGCAGATGGTGGTGACAGGTACTCTTTAAGGTGATGCCGAGGGTCCAAAAGACCCCCAGTGTCACCTTTACAACACAAATAAGTTATTGAAGTGCAGATCGCACTTCAATAGCTTATAGCTGGGCTGCAGGAGCCCAGAACTGACAGCTATGGGACCGGAAAGTGATGCAATCTGCATCGGTCCCATAGAACGGGGAGGGGATCGACGAATGGAGGTTCGTCCATCTCCTCTCCAGCTCCCCGCCGACAACAAAGAAGTTGGTCCCAGGCCCGTAAGAGGGGCAACGGAGCCCGGGAAACACGGTGGGGGTGACGGGGGGGGTGTGTCCATTCACCGGGCCGTAGAAGTGATCTGGCGACGGCTGAGTCTCCAGAATCGCTTCTACTGTAAAGCCGACAGTCGGCTTTACAAGTTTAAACAGAGTCCCGGCGGCTTTTAAACAGCCCCGATGCCAGCGACGTACACTGTACGAAGGGGTTAAAGTGGATTTCCACTTTTGCAGTCACATTTTAGAAAACCTGCACTTTGTGTTCTGTGTTTTTTTTTTATTCACACACCCTATCTAAAAATAAGCTTTTTAAAAAAAAAAGTCTTACACCTTGTAGATGTGTCTGTGTAGCTGATCTTTGCAAGCTTCTCTCTCATTTTCCCAGTGACAGAAAACTGCCTATCCACATAGAAAGACTTGGGAAAGATTGAGCTTTTATTCACATACAATGCTTCTAAATCTTCTAATCCCTTTTTTAGGACAGAAAGTGTTCAAATCTAGTTTACAACTGTTAATGAGATCTGCCAGCCCAGTATAGACAGGGTTATTATGTGAACATTAACCTGGCCACCCCCTCTGCACCCCCCACCACCTTGCATTCCAGAATGAAACTCAGTACAGAGAGCTATTTTTTCCTTTCAGAATAGAGAATGTATTGTGCAAGCAGCAATTAAGAAGAAAAAAAAAAAGTTATGATGAAAGAGACCTGTAACAAATATAAAATAGGTGTTATCCCAATTTGGCAGGCAAGATGGAACTACACTTTAAACCTCTGCTTCATGGGAAGCATGAAGGTTCAGTCCAACCAAAATTGCTATTTTAGTTTGGGAAATCCTTTCATGAGCTGAATCACTCACCAGCCTCTTTTATCTCTTGGCAATGATGGAAGGATCCACTTACCTGCTGTGGCCATTACAAAGAGGGTTACTCCAATGCTTTTATAAAGGAGATTCATTCTGAAGAGGAATGAGATTCTTGTGAGATTATGTGAGTGAGGAGGTGGCAGAGCCAAGAACCTCAGTGGGGAGATCTTACCACTGCAGTCTGAGACAACCCATCAGTGTCTATGTGTAGGACTAAATATCAGTGTTGGGTGGACACTTCCATTTGTACCATGTGGTTTTTTTTTTTTTTTTTCTTTCTGAATTTAGAATTTTCGCCCCCACAAAGTAATCCTAATGAGCAATTCTGAGACCATTATCTGTTTAAAATATATATTAGCTGAAACAACATTACAGAAATGTAAGGAATAGATATGCTATATTTTCCAAAGCACTGGCTTAACGTCTTTGTTTTGTATTTTAGATATTTCTTCTGGCCTGTCCGCCATGTAAAGTTGCCACGGTAGTATTCCGGTGAGTATGGTAGTTATGAAATTAGATTTATTGCCTTGATAAGTTACAAACTGTATTGCCAAAGGATTTATTACAGGGGCAGATTTCATTAAGGTAATGGTGTTCAAAGATTGATTGGGAATATCTGGGTGCATTTTAATCTAGTTCCACCATGTACTAATATTTCAGAACCCCCTCCCTACCTTTCTACTCATGTATGCTATGTACTGCCCACGCTGGGCCTCTCATTGTATTTTTCCTAAGAATAATGCAGGGGGAGCATTGCTGATCCAAGTTTAAAAATACCAGTTTCCTGGTTGTTCTGCTGATCCTCTGGCTTTATTACTTTGAGTCATTGATGCAGAACAAGCTTACTTATCAGAAACGTCAGAGCTCATTGTCTGCATACTTGTTCAGGGATAGAGACTTGAAGTAAAATAGGTAGCATGACAGCCAGGCATCCGCCATTTGCAGAGTGAGATGTCGGCAATGGCAGCCTCCCTTATTTTGTTGTCCCACTCAGGAAAGGTTTCCTTTTAGGTGTGTACAAGGAAAATGTAATGAGAACTCCTGGTCTTAGTACATGCTCATTTCATCTTTACATATCCCTTCAGCAGCCAAACTCCCCTTTAAATAGATTACTGAAGAATTGACCTTTTCCAAAGTACAGATGTAACATGTTACTACTTTTTATTAGGTTACAGATGCATATGCTGAATGGAGCCCTTCTTGCATTATTATTTCCAGTGCTGAATACGCGAATGGTATGTAGACTGTTACTTGTTACTAACGTAGCTTTAAAATAAACAGTGACCTCTATCAGTCTTTCTCATATAGTGCCTGTGTTTGTGCGGATAGATAGATACAGGTGAAACTCGAATAATTAGAATATCGTGCAAAAGTAATTGCAGTAAGCGCTGCAAAAGGGGCCCAAACCAAGTACCGAGTACATATGCATGCTTGTACTTTTCAGAGGTCCGATATTGTTCTATGTACAATCCTTGTTTTATTGATTGCATGTAATAATCTACTTTTTTGAGGTTGTGGATTTGGGGTTCTTGGGGTTTTCATGAGCTGTAAGCCATAATCATCACAATTATGACAAATCACGGCTTGAATTATCTTGCTTTGCATGTAATGAGTCTATCTCATATATTAGTTTCACCTTTTTAAGTTGCATTAGTGAAATAAATGAACTTTGCACGATATTCTAATTATTTGAGTTTCACCTGTAGATGGATGGATAGGATATCTCATCAGGCTGGACATATGTGAATTGGGGAGACACCCCCCTTGCGTCAACATGCATCAACCTTCTTCCTCTTTAGACACATCATAGTGTACTGACATCAGTATGCTTGTGGTGATTATTGCATGGCTACCAGTGTGCAAGTATTGCCTCACACTTATCTTTGGGCATCTTTGGAAGTAGCTGCTTCTTTATCTCCTACTCATATGAAATGAAAGTAATATTTGAGAGATTTTGATGAGGAGAAGTGAACATCTTCTTACATTGCTCCACTGTTGAGCCAACTTATGAGAAACACCCACTTGCGAACATCCCTTGGTTTGCACTCCGTTACTTGAAGAGAGCCTCCCACCTTCTATTTTTAGAAATCCTGAGGGGTATACCTGTGCTTGACTCCTTTTCTTAATGCAGTGGACATCCTCTTGGTCTTGTCTCTTTAGGCCTCTGAAGCAATAAGGGGGGATAACAGGGCACATAACACTGCTCTATCTATAGGCATAGGGTAAAGTGCCTAGCTGACATGGCTTATCTAGACATAGTACTATTATAAAAATGAAATGACTGTCTATGTTATATCCTGTATCTGATATTCCCCAGTCCACATCTGCAGTCACATCTGGGAAGAGGGGTGTTTTCATGTTCATTGTTCTGCTCTATTCTACTATTCACAGTTTGTTGGTGCTTCTGTCTGTCTTGATCAGCACTGCAAACCTCCATTTTAGTTCTAATCTACTGGGATCTGCTGCCCAGTCTTGTGCATATAGTATTGATTTTATATCATGATAACTGACAGAACTAATTCAGGGAAACAGGATAAATTACCCTCTTGCCTCGCGGTTCTAGTGAATCACAAAATAATGTAATTGCTTATCTCTTTTTATTATGCAGACAAAGGTTGCATTAGGTTTGTTTAAATAGAATTTAACAATGCAATCCTCT